TTCACGGGGGCGCTCTTCTTCATCGTCGTCAACCAGTTCTTTGGCGCCGCGACGCCCGAGTTTGCGTCCGTGCCGATCGAGCTGCCGCTCATGGCCCGCGAGTACTACGGCGGCCTCTACCGGTCGTACGTCTGGTATTTGGCCAAGAACGTGAGCGAGCTCTTCTTCCAGATCTTCTTCCCGCTCGTCTTCCTCGTGCCCGCGTACTTCATGATTGGCTTTGGCGCTTCGAACGCGACGCTCTTCTTCTCGCTCTACATGTACATCGCGCTTCTCTCAAGCTCTGCGACCGGCCTCGGCTACATGGTTTCGTGTCTCGCCAAGACGCCTGACATTGCACCGATCATTGGCATCCTCATCATCCTTCCGTTCCTCATCTTTGGCGGCCTCTTCATCAACACCAACAATGTGCCTGTCTACTTTAGCTGGCTCGAGTTTATCTCGCCGATGAAGTACGCCTTCCGTGGCATGAGTCGCGCCTTCTGGACCACGGTCGACACGATCCCTTGCGACAGCACGCCATGCGCGGCGACGACGGGCGCCCAGGTGCTCGTGAACCTCGCACTCAACAAGGAAGACATGGCCTACGACGTCGGCTTTCTTCTCTGGATTAACGGCATGTTCCGGGTCTTTGGCATGATTGCGCTCGCACTGCGACTCCGCGGCAAAAAGTAAAGCTTATCTATTGCATCTTGAATCTCAAAATATGTTTCGGTCCTACGAGTGCTCTGCAGCGTTGTGCCAAGTGCCAGGACGCGTGCATGTGCGACAGATCTCGGTCCACGTCTCTTCGCCCAGGTACAGTTAGTTATTCATGGCTACTGGAAGGGCTACTACCGTTGCAGTATGGACCGCCTTCAATGCACTGGTACATCGCACACGAGCCTTGCCCAAAAGCTCTTCGAACTGCTGGAAGCGCTCGAGGGAGAGCGACGGCCACGCGATAACGCCGGCTGTTGATAACGTGATTGCGAGGGTGGGATGTCACGTGCAACGGCCGTCTCTGTTTGACGTGACCAACGCTGTGCGTCGGCTCCGCAATGGCTCTCTTCGATAGGCTGTGGGAAACGCAACGTGCTGTTCATTGCGTTCGATGGCTTGGCTTGGCCGTGCAGAACAGCAGCGCAGTACGTCCCAAGTAGGATGGGCTGCCCATCACCAGCTCGCGTGTCTCTTTCCGACCTCTGATCACGTACTTCAACGAGTGGCCCAGTGCCGAAGGCTGTCGAAGGCCGCGAACATGAGCGAAGACCACACGTTCGAATCGACGAGCCACTGGTTCAGATTCTGTGTCAATTCCTGGCGCCGCACACTGCCACGTCATGTGATTCGGCGGTTTTTCTTTCGCATGATCAGCAATCTGTTGGATTGAATTAATGACGTCATCATTTGGTTTGCTGTCTGGACCGAGCAAGAGTGATGGTTGCGTTGATTGCATGGAAGCGAGCAGTGCTTTGAGCAACGGAGCATTGATCTCCACGGATATACCGGGAGTACCCAAAAGATTTACGGTCCATCTCAAGAGCGCGGTTCTTGGTGCACTCAGCTCCTTTCGTCCATTGCTTCCACTGTCTACCATCAGGTACCATAATCTATCACGCGCCTTCGCAGCCGCATAATCCCAACGTTGGTCAAACCGCCACCTTTATCTCACGTGAACAGCCACCGGTCATTCGATCCAACAAGATTCGCCGGCCTCCTGCTCGAGTAATCGCTTGCGCGTCGAAATGATGGTCGCAAGACTCGATTTGCGAAACACTGGTTTCGTGTTTTTATTCTGGGAAATAAAATAAATTGGCGCCAACCAACCACCGATGTGTAACGCGGGTGTCGGTCCGTATAGATCGGACGCTTGCAATGGCTTGGCTCTTCCGTCGATTCCCACTTTTCATTTCGCATCGTGTGAGCCATGTCCAGCGAAGCCCACTACATTGACGTCGCGACGCCCAAGGCCGGCGCCGACATCCTCGTCGATGTGCCCAAGATCACGCTCGAGTGGAAGAACGTCTCCAAGGTCGTCAAGATCAAGAACACAGCCACCAAGCAGGTCGAGGACAAGGTCATTCTCAACGATCTGAGCGGTATCGCAGTGCCTGGCGAGCTTGTCGTCATGATGGGACCATCCGGCGCCGGCAAGTCGTCGCTCCTCGACGTCATCTCGGGCCGGCAGAAGGACTACACCGGGTCGGTTTTGGCCAACGGCCAGAAATGGACCAAGCAAATGAACAAGTACGCATCGTACGTCATGCAGGACGACGTCTTCTACGAGACGCTGACCGTCAA